CACCCCCAGCCACTGATCGCACCCCCTAATCACCTCCACGTTAGGGACGTTTATCATTGGATGCACCTCTCCCTACAGCAGTTCCAGCCGTTAAGCAACAGCACAATCTGAACTGCTGCTGATTTCCATACGTACAAAGTGCTTATGACCTGGGTAAGGCACAATTTTCCATTCAAAAATACTTTAAAATCAGTGATTTTCTCTGTCACAATAAAATCGCTATAATAGGAAAATAATATACTTTAAAATCAGTGATTTTCTCTGTCACAATACGCTATAATAGGAAAATAATAAAAAAAAGAGTCTGAGTGAAATCCTCATTGTGAACATCATCCCTCTCTAACAGATACAGCATGTCTTCTTCTTCCCTTCTCGTGATGCTTCATCATTTCCAAACAGCCTCCAGGGACCCCCTGTGCCGTGTTGCTCTGACAGCAGGAACCAGAATCGCCTCCGACCTCCGCAGAAAAAGTTTCCTTGGCGTGAGCTGGGGTGGACGCAGCATCTCCTCTGCAGGCTCGGCAACCCTCTGCAGGCGTTTTGGAGGATCACACCCCCATGGTGAGCTGGGGCAAAGGACCCGGGAGAGACACGTGGCGCGGGAGGCATTCAGGAGGTGCTGGAGCCCCTTGCAGGAACATCTCACTGTAGGTCGACAGGAGGGCAAAAGCAAGATGAAGCCTTCAGTCTCGCTTTCTTTTAGGGAACGGCACCTCCAAAGCCAATTTGGGGAATTTTTGTGTTTGTTCCCAAGGGACCAAGCAAGCCGGCGGAGGCAGGGAAGGCTGGGCTCTGGCTGACGGGGGCTGTGCAGCAGGAGGGGGGGAACGCTCATTGCACAACAGCAGGTCGTCTCTCCATCGACAGCTTCCGCCAAAACCTGGTTTGCTTCCTTCTCCTCCCCGCTGATAATGTCTCAGGCACAGGTCATTCCTGAAACTCAGGTTAAATCTGAAAAAAAAAAAAAAAAAGGATGTGAGCCACAGAGCAGTGATGCAATGGGATTTCTCTGACACACCAGGCAGATTTTGCTAGTCTCACGCGTTTTCCTGATGCCCTGCTGAGCTCTGCGCTTCCGTCAAGACCTGCAGCAGTGAAAAAGGGGAGGAATGGTCAAAAGCGGAGGGTGAACATGGATTCAGCAGAGCTGAGAGCCGAGCGCTGAGCCGGTGCTGACGTGGTGCCCGAGGGACGCCGGGCTCTGCTGCCCTGCCTGCACGGGGACTGTCACCACAGTCTGGGGGCCGCAACGTTGGGGCACAGCCACACATTTCTCAGCATAGGCAGGGCAACACATTAAAATCCTGCAAAAGCTCCATTTAAAGGAAGTTCAGACTGTCTGAGGACATGCTGAAGTAAACTGGCATCGACATCCACTGGGTTTTCAAGGGTGATATCCAGCCTCCTCATTCCCTTTCAGAAAGAGAGAATGGCCACTTCACGGGCAAATCTATTTTACGCAGCTGGATGTGCCCTTCTGCATCACCACCTTCTGCTCCGATGCTTTGGCATCCAGGGGATGGACCCCCTTAAATCACCTTGCAGGTGCTTCAATAATTAAGGATGAGGAAAAAAACCAAAGAAAAACCCCCAAAACCAAACACCCCACCCGCTCAGCCCCCCAGCAACAAATGCAGTAAGGGAAATGGCATTTCATATCCAGTTGTTTTGATGCTGCTTTTTTTTTTCCATCCCTTTTTTCAGAAGTCCCATCAGACTGGCAGCAAACCTGGGGTGTCCTCATGCTGTTAACGGAGCCTGGGGCTCCTCGCACAGCCTCAGTACTGACCGGGATTCATGGATGTGCCTGACAGGAGTGGTGCCTGCCTACCACTTCAACAAGGGGGAGAAAAAAAAAAAAATATCCCAATTGCTTTTGTGTTTCAGAAGCTTTTAAAGCATTTTGCAAATTCCTTGCCCATTCCGTAAGCCCGTACTCATTGTTGTCCCCACCCCGGCATTGGGGACAGCAGCATTACCTGGAGACCCCCCTGGGAAGCGCACATCCCACAGCCACTCTGCGGAGCAAACTTCTGGCTCCATCACCTGGATGGGGCAACTCCCCATCTGCTGCTCCTCACCACCAGGGAGCAGGATCGGGTCCGGATTTGGCCAGTCCCAGGACGGCAGCAGGGACACGACGGCAGAACAGAGATCCTTCAGAAACGCCAGGGGGGGCCGTTACCCACCGATGCCCACTGTTTGTGGCGGTGTGCTCCCCCCTCGCCTCCCACTCCCCCTCCCTTCACCTCTTCATGACTGTGAGCCAACCATCCTACCCCCATCCCCAGCGAGCAGCCCCAGAGCCCTTGGAGCTCTCCCACACGGCAGCGGCTGCACGCCAGGATCTCCCCGGGAGCAGGGACCCCTCTCAGGGTCACCCCTTGAGGCTGAGAGGTTCCTGACCCCAGCAGATCCTCAGTGCATGGCTCACAGCATGCTAACTCTGAAACCTTGGCTAAGTGACATAAAGGACTGATTGTGCATATATAATCCTTTAGAAATGAACTGCTGACTGCGTCTGGGACTAGGACTGGATCCAGCCACACCTCGGCTCCTCTCTGAGGAAGGATTTTAGAAAGCAAGGGGATCTTTTCTGAACCCCATGACTCAACTTTAGAGTCTCCCTGGCAGCAGTAAATATCCAAGGGTACCTTGCCATCAAATCTCATAAACTATTGTCGCATTGACCACTGAACTTTGTTAACTCACTGTTTTACACCAATAAACCACATTATTTTTTCCTCCCTCTCACTCCATCCATGACAGTGCTACCCTGACAGCGAGTCCTGGGAAAACTGGGTCTGGTTTTGATGGGCGAGCAGCAATGGGAGGAAATGTGGCTGCAAGCATCGTTCAAAGCCCAGGCACGCAGAACTGACACACGCTTGTTCTTATCCATTTGTATCCACTTTTTTTTTTCCAGTTAAAAAGCTCAGCACAGGTTTTGGAGTTGATAGGATGCTCCAGCTTTGGACCAACCTACAAACGCTGAAGGCGATCTCACGAGCACTCAGATCTGCTTTGCAAAGATTTTGTAGTCTATTCTACTCAGGTAATGCAAACAAGAATACACTTGAAAGTAAGGATCATTTTTAGCTTTGATCCCCCAGCTCCAGCTACCAGCTGGTTTGCAAATAACCACTCTGTGCTCCAGAGTGAAGGAGGAGGTGACCATGCCTCCTGGATTCTCCTCAAAGCGATGCGTGTGTTAACACTGGGGCAAGACGGCTGCTCAGAACAGAAAAAAGATGTTGTCCAACTCGATCATTCCACACAAATTCTCAGAAATGTACAGTGCGTGGTAGTACTCAGTGCGGATACGCTCCCCTCAGAGATACACACAGATATACAGACGTATTGGCGCAGAAGTCAGAAGAAATGCCGGTGTGATATATGTGGTTCTCCGCTGAGGTGAAGGGCTCTGGAGCAGAGGATTGCGCCGAGGGACCCTTTCTGAAGCGGCAAAACCCTGAGGCAGAAGGTGAAAAAGCAGAGGGAGAGAGAGGAGACGCCAACCCCCCCCTCCCAGGGAGGGAAGGAGCGGGCTCCTGACGAGCGGCAGCTCTGCCTCAGCGGTGGCGGAGTCAGGAGTGACAGCGGCCCGATTCCCTCACGTACAAAAAGAGCCCCCAGGGAGCACAAGCGACCCGGCGCACGGCGAGCAGGACAGGCAAACAGGGGATGGTGCGTCAGAAGGGCATGGTGCGGCAGTTTGCGCAGGCAGTTGGCGTGGGCAGGGCGCGTTCTCTCCTCCTCGCTCTGAGGGTCACTCGATTAGCACCCATAGACATTCCAGGAGAGGAGCAAGCAATGGTTTCCACTCGTCTGAAAGCCGTTGCCAGAAAGAATGTAGCAACCCAAACGGAGTCCCCACCTAAACAGAAACATGCGGCTGTCCAGGTCGTTGGCCACAGGGAGTGCCTGAGCCTGTCGGCTGTACCAGAGAACGGTAAGGACAGTGGCTGTCTCAAGTGTGAGCAGCTGGATGATCTGCTCTGCCTGGTGGCAGAGCTGAAAGAGGAGGTGGAAAAGGGAGTGTGAGATGGAGATAGACTGGTGGAGCCGCACCCTACCATCCCTCAGGCCAAGGCAGGAGATAGAGGCTCCACAAGAAGCAGAGGATCCCCTGTCCTCTTGGCAGTGAGAGGAAGTTAGGGACCCAAGAGATGGCGGGGAATGGAAAAAGGTCTCTGCTCAGGGCAGGAGGCAAATCCCTTCCTGGGCTCCCTCACTTTCCCAGCCGCCCTTGCGTAACAGATACGGGGCTCTGGAACCCGAGGCCAAGGCAAATGAGGATGGGGATGAAGGTCCACCTGGGGGGTTGACTAGGGAGAGTAGGTCACCCCTACCTATCAAGACTGACTGTGCCAAGAAAAAAAGAAGGGTAATCGTGGGCGATTCCCTTCTGGGTATGCTGAGGTAGAGAGTTGAGAGAAGAAACCATAAGATAGCTTACCATAGAGCGTATCTCTTCTCACTAGACAACAACTGAAATTAACTAAATTAGAAAATTTGCTACCTATTTACATTCAAGATGAAGGAGCTTTACCAATCCCGTTGCTTATTCCTCCTGGCAGCTGAAAATTAGCAATTAAGAAATGTGTGAAACTTTATTGTAAAGAATGAACTTAGATTCTTGCTCTGTTGAAGCTTTTTTGGAGTTTGCCTCTGAGAATGAACATGGTAGCCTTTTGAGCACTGATGTCCAGATTTTAAAAAGTAATTAAGCATGCTACTCCTCAGCAATGACCACACTAAATTTCAAGCACTCAGCTACTGAAGAAGCATTTTCTCCCTTCCTGAACAAGTCCTGTAAATGCTACATTACAGACAGCATCCCCTCTTTCTCATGTCATTGCTGATGATTTAAATAACAGTGGTTAAAGCAGTCAATGTATATTAACTGTACTCTAAAGATATATACAAAATTGAGCCTTTGATCTTCTCAGAACTGAGGACTTCTAGGCATGTGATAATCTCCAGAAGTTCAGCATAGACAAAATGGGAGGCCTGTGCACATACAACAGCCAAAGTTCAGAGAACTCTTGTCTGTAACTTTGCTCAGGTGCCTGCATGCTCTTAAATAACTACCCTGACCATAAGTTGTAGAATTCTTTATGGAATTAAACACATTGTGCCACATTATGTTACACAAAGGGTGCATTTTAGTAAGCCTAAGTAGTTGGTAGCACATGTAGAAAGAGAGTGGTTATTACCAGTACCTGTAATATATATATTTTTTCCATTTTTATCTGTAATGGTTTTGAAATAGGAGCCAAAGTAGGAAAGGAAGGGATAACAGTGAGATCTGGACTTATATATAAGAACAAATTGGTTAACTTCTTTCCTTAATTTTCACTTCAGCTTTTCAAAATTTTATCAAATTATTCTAACAAAACTTCTAGCTACCTTTAGCTAAAACTTCAGCTCATTATAGTGGACTTTCCTCAGCTATTAAAGGTTCCTGCAGTGTGTGGAAGATAAATTCCTGACACAGCTGGTAAGGGAGCCTTCCAGGGGAGGTGCCCTGCTTGACCTCCTGTTCACTAACAGAGGAGGACTGGTGGGAGAGGTGGTGGTCGGAGGTTGTCTTGGCCTTAGTGATCATGAAATGGTAGAGTTTTCGATTCTTGGTGAGATAAGGAAGGGCGTCAGCAAAACCACCACCATGGACTTCCAGATGGCAGGCTTTGGCCTGTTCAGAACACTGGTTGGGAGAATCCCTTGGGAGACAGTCCTGAAGGGCAAAGGGGTCCAGGAAGGCTGGGTATTCTTCAAGGAAGAAGTCTTAAAGTCACAGGAGCAGGCTGTACCCATGTGCTGTAAGGCAAATAGGCGGGGAAGACGACTGGCCTGGCTGGACAGAGGTCTACTGCTGAGACTCAGGAAAAAAAAGGAGAGCTTACCAGCTCTGGAAGAAGGGGCAGGCAACCCAAGAAGAGTACAGGAATCTTGTCAGGTCATGCAGAGAGGAAATTAGAAAGGCAAAAGCCCAACTGGAACTCAACCTGGCCACTGTTGTAAGGGATAATAAGAAAAGTTTTTATAAATACATTAAGAGCAAAAAGAGAGCCAGGCAGAACTTACATCCTCTAGAGGATGTAAGGGGGAACATTGCCACTAAAGACGAGGAAAAGGCTGAGATACTTAATGCCTTCTTTGCCTCAGTCTTTAATGGCCCGACGAGTTATCCCCAGGGTACCCAGCCTCCCGAGCTGGAAGATGGGGACAGTGAGTGGAATAAACCCCC